GAGGAGACGGCTGCAATTTTGAGCAGGCCGGTTCACATGCATATATGCATTCTAAATACCCATTGCTTTTCATATGAAATACTTGATAATAAATATGTGCTGTGTAATGGGAAAGAAGACTTTTGCTTCTATTCTCAAATTTTTAATTATAATTTTAATAACTTTTTTCCTAATGAATTTATTTTGTCATGGTCTTTTCATACATTTGTATCTTCTATTGAACTCAGATGTCCTTAAAGAGAGTGATATTACCTTATTCACTTTTATCACCACTGCAGTGGAAAATAATAGCTCTCTGTAAAAATATTTGCAAAGAAATAAACGGAATATGAATATCTGAATACACTATGTAATTCTGTAACTCTTGGATATAAGTGAAAATTGATAAGAGCTTTGAAAATTATTTTGCTACCACAGAATTTCACTATTGCTTTGTGATGTGCATTATGTACTGCCTAAATATCTTATTTTAGCTAATTCAAAGATTAGAGCTGCTCCAATCTAAACTTGTAATAACTACTTTAAAGATCACTAATCTCCAAGGAGCCACTGTCCCTTGTGGAAGGTGATTACAACATGGAGTCAAGCATGCCAAGGGCACCGAAAATGGAGCCGGGAGGCCACTAGGGAAGTGGGGCTTATACACGTCTCTACCCACATGAACTGTAAACTTTTGAACTGAGCTTCACAGCTGTCATCCTGATCTTCTTCCAAGAAATATGCTCACTCCTATAGATAAGAACTTTCTGCCTTGGAGATGGTCCTAGCAACCAATCACGTAGCCAACAAGTAACAGTTGTTGCCAGCACCGATCACAAATCTTGCAAAACCACCTGTGTGATTGATCTCTTTTTGCCTTTATAAACCTGTCTCCTTTGTCTTCCTCGGAGCACATTTGAGTTTCTACTTGAATCTGTGTCTCCCAAATTATAACCTGTGTATCACAGACAACATATCTTGTAAGTCCAGCTGGGAATGACATTTCAAGTTTTGTTTACAGAAGGACGCCCAAGAGAATTTGGAAAATATTGTGGGCATTTATACAGTGAGTAAATTAGAAGGCCAAGTCAAATTTTAGTCTGCTCCATGTTTCCATAACTTGAGCCTACCTAGCTAAAATGAGACATCCCCCTTATTCATCAGCTCACCATCATGGGACTCTAAGTTCACTGAGATATAATGGTCTTGGTTCCAGAATTTGGAACTCGCTGGCTCTATTATATTGAGTATTGTTGCCAAAAGAAATCTGGTAGTCTATAGTGAAGAATTAAACTTATCCCAAGAGGTCTGACCTTGTCTTACAGTTACTAGGCAGTAATCTCTAGGCCCTTGGAATGTCATGACTGACAGTAGTGTCTTTATTTGCCTGGGGGCTTTGGCCACTAGACAGACTAGCCATATGATTTACAATTGTGGCTTTGGGCCACATATCAGTTTTGCTTCTGGGAGGGGCTGGAGACTAAAGGTCAGATACACGGGCAGTTTGTGATTGGCACCAATAAAAACTCTGGTTACCAAAGGCTCACATACACCATGCATCCTGTCACACGTCATGGTCGGGAGGAGTTAGTGTTGTCCATGACTCGGTGGGGACACGGCAATTGGAGGCTCTGCACTTGGACCCCTCCTGGGTCTGCCCTATTTGTCTATTCCCTTGGCCGATTTTAACATGTGAGTTCTTCTAGATAATTATTGAAACTCAGGGTGGTTTGGGGAAACCCCCCAATTTGGAATTAGTGTCAGAAGTAAGTGGAGTCTTGTGGGGACTGTTCCTTCTAAACTTTGAAGTTGGCTAACCTCTTGCAATCTGGAACCAGTAGTTAATTCAAGATTCCCTATCAAGTAAAGTTTGGTTTGGTTTTCTAGCTATAATTATAATGTACATTATTACAGACTATTTAAAAATGAAAATAAAACAAAAATCAGATATTTGGCCTTGTCTGTATCTATATCTGAAATTACATAGTTTATATTACTGATTATTTACTGGGAATTCAATTATAATTGAGGGAAGATTCATTGAACATGGCTGGTATCATTCATCATTCCCTTAGGGCAACTGTGGAAACAGGAAGCTCCCACTCCTGAGAGTCACAGCAACTTAAGACAACTCAGCCACGGTAACAGCACATCCTCTACTTCTTCCTGACACATTTCAAATGGAGCCTCTGACGTAAGATATGTAGGCAGTACATAATGCACATCACAAAGAGATAGTGAAATTCTGTGGTAGCAAAATAATTTTCAAATTATTCACTGATCCAGACTCTGGAGAACACTCCATATTTACAAACCTTCCCTGACGAGGTGTGCAGTGATCTCATGCTACATTCCATTTCTTGAACCAGTCCTCTGTCACCAGGTTTTCTTCTATCTCAAGTTCTCTATTTTCCTGAATTACAAGTCTTTCCCACACTCCAGTCTTGAACATGTTTTCCTGGTTTTTTCCCAGCATTTCTAGAGGTTAGTTTACAGCTTTAGGTCTTCTACTCCTCTGGCATTCATTATTGCAAATGGTCAGTGAGAAGCTACCATTCCTTTCCAAGAAAGACAGCAGGGAGAGGGTCTGCGTATCACCTGTTTCTGAAGCTCCCCATGTGTGGGATCCACAAACCAGAGAGGAGGGGACAGCTGGGCCCAGGACTGGAAGGGCAGGACTGGAGGGAGGATCAGGCCACGGGACCAGCTTTTGGTGAATCCCACAGGGGCACAGAAGGTGGACAGACTAGGCTGGGGGCTTCCTGGGAGCCCCAAGATACCCGGGGTATGTGCAGTTGCAGGTGGCTACTGATGGGGCTCTGAAACCTTGGGGGATGGAGGGTGTATCCCTGAGCCCGACCTGTCCAGGCGTCCCAAGGGTGGGAGATACACTTCTACTTTTCAGGAGACAATGGGACTCAAGTAAGGGGGATAGTCCTCCTCTGCTGGAAGGAATACAGTCCTCAGAATGGGCCATAGGGAGCAGAGCAGGTGCTGATAAGTCTGTAGAACCAATGATCTATTTTACTAAAAACCACCATGTACATCACATTTTATAAAACAGCATCCATTCTGACCTCTTGGTCCCTTCTCTAACTCCACAAAAGACAGGGAGTACTCAGGGAGCTATGAAGACAGGGTCCTTCCTCCAATGCTCAAGGCTGCCCCAATCACCTGCAGACCCCTGGTCCAGTGAACACGAGGGAGGTGGGAGCAGTGGAAGCTGCAGACTGCTCCCGCCAGCCTGGGGCACCTGGATCCTGTCCAGAGTCCTCATCACCATCCCAGGGGAAGGCCCTACCAGAACCACAGACACACTAACCCACAGCCTGAGCCTCAGCTGGACTCACAGATGGGCCCAACCTGGGCAGCTCCCAGCCCTAGGAAGAAGAGACCAGTCAGCACAATGGTTGTGGTCAACCTTGCCCAGAGCCAGCACAGCGACAGGCTGGGTTTCCATTCCAGCTCGTCCTCCTCCAGGCACTGCTGGAGGCCCAAGCCGAAGAAGTCCAAGATGTAGCCGGACTGGAAGAGGGGAGGAAGGTGAGAGCTGACTGGGCAGGGCCGTGGGTAGCAATGAGGGACTGGGGCAGGGGGTGATGCAAAGGTCTCCTGAGGGAGGAGTGGGATGTGGGATACTGGGTAGAATGCAGGGTGAAAGGAACCCAGAGGGGAGGGTTATAAGAGTAGGGCCTAGGGCAGGGGGAGTGCAGGATACTAGGGAAAGAGTGGGGTGGCGAAGACTAGGGTCCTGGAGCAGCAAGAGGGGACGAGGGGAGCCCCAGGAAAGGAGGAGGGACTGGGGAAGCAGAAATAAAGTCCCTGAGTGGGGTCTCTGGGCAAAGCAGGGGGGATGGGTCAGGGGGCTCACAGTGAAGCCAGACACCAACACCCCTATGGGGGCCAGATGAAGACATTGTCCAGCAGTGCTTGTGTTAGACACATGGGTGTAGCCCATGCAGAGGGCAAGGGTCACCTGGAAGAGCTACAGGTGAGCTGCAGAGCCACACCTCCTCCTATAGAGCCATGGAGCTGGTGTTGGCCTGAGACCCCCACCCCGACACATGAGGGCCTGCTGCATAGACCAGAACACTGAGGCCAGAGAGCAGAGCAGGTGGGCCAGGGCCTCCAGTCAACCTCGCCCACCACCACCTCCACTCACCCTTTACAGATGGGTGAACTGAGGCCAGTGGGTGTGACTTAGCTGTGGTTGCCTAATGTGCAAGCCAGAGGAAACACCACAAGAACACCTCTGGGTACAGGCCAGCATCCCAAGCAGAAAGATGGGATCCAGAAATGGAGATGGCAGCAACGTCAATGGGAGCGCAGAGGCCAGGGAGTGCCCTTGCATCTCGTCTTCAAATGCTTCCTGTTTCGTGGTACCCTCCACCAAGTTTCCCTAAGTCCGAGACCTGCTATAAGTGCTCCCTGTGAAGCCCAGCAGTGTTACACAGCAGTCCCCTCTGCGCCCCCCTCCCCTGCCTCAAAATGATGAATGACAGAGCAGCTACTTTCTCAGTCACAGCCGGTGTTTGCTCTCCCAGAAGCCACTCATACTAAGAGCTGGAGGAAGAGCAATCAGGCAGAGGGAACAGCAATACTGAAGACCTTGAGGCAGGATTGAGTTTGTTTACTTCAGGAGCAGACAAGAGGGGCAGTCAGGAGCCTAAACGTGTGCAGGCCCTATATGAGGTCTCATCCACCAGCCTTCACGTTGTATCCTAGGTACAGTGAAGTCACTGGGTCAAAGAAATAGGACTCGACATACAGGGAGGATCGCTCTGGCTGCTCTGAACAGGCAGCAAGAGTGGGTGTAACGCAGACTAACACCTGGAGGCTCACACAGCTTCAGAGTAAGAGATGGGGCGAGGACTAGAACGCCTAGCAGTGAAGACAGAAAGCACAAAAGATGAGATTTATTTTGCAGACAGAACTCACATACCAGCTGAAGTATTTAGCATATGTGTTGGAGAACCAGAACAACTGAGGATGCCCCAGGTTTTTGGCTTAATCAACTAGGTGGACAGTAGTGTCATTCACTGAAAAGCAGAAGACGAAGGGAGATTTAGAGGTTGATCGGATGTTTTGAACATGCCAAATTTGAAATGCCCATGAAACATCCAAGTAGAGATGTTGAGTAGGCAGCTGGGCTCCGGGCTTCTATCTAGTCTGAGATGCAAGTTTGGGAGATACCACCAAAATGGCATCACAGCCACTGAGGAGGATTAAGCCACCTGGAAAACCTGATTCAATGCAGCAGAAGGCCTGGGACTATCGCCTGGAGCAGCCAACATTGAGAGATGTCATCCACCAAGGCTTAACCCAAGTCTTTGGCGGGGACTGTTAGGCCAAGAAGCTCTCTGCTCCTAAGAACAAAGCCTGGCCTGCTGGGAGCCACACTGGCTCCCTGAGGATGAATTGCTCAGAAATGAAGGCAACAAAAATGACCAAGCACTGGGGTGAGAGCCTGGATCCAGAACTGCCAGACGCCTGCCTCATCTGTACTTCCTCTAGCACACACGGTTAGCACACGCTTTCACTCATCCACTTTTATAAAAATTAGTTTTATTGGGGCAACGTGACATCACGAGAGAAAGCACCACACCATGTGGCAGGACCTCCTTTCATAAGTGAGCACCAGTGCACAATCACACAGCTTTCCCACTATTCCTCTCTACCAACAGCTACCACATCTAACACTAAAGACTGACTAAAATATTCTTTCTATAACATGCTGAACACTCACTTCAGCTTATTGTTGAAGCTTTTCTAAACGGACTTCCCTCTTCTGGCAGGAGGAACAATTCACCTGAAGACCTACAAATGGGGGTCTCGTGCTTGTCTGACAGTACCCAATATGCTGGTCTCACATCTGCCCAAAAAACAGCACCAGACTCACTGACCAGCCAGGGACAGACCAACCCCACATCTGTCCCACAGAGCATTCCTGGAAAGGCTCTGCACCCAAGATAAACCCCCACACCACTCACGGAGAGGGACTGTTCCAGGATGGGGGAGAGGCTAAAAGAAATTGAACCTAAACTCTTCATCAGGAGTGTCCAGGGTGGCCTTGGCTCCCCCTGCTAGGTGAGGCCTGCAGACCCTTCCACTCTTCTTTCTGGCGGCCTCACCTACAGGCTGCACCTGGGCTGACTGGGCTGCTGCGGGAGAAGAGAGAGACAGCATGAGGACTGAATAACAACAGCTAACATTACCTCTGCCCCCACAATTCTAACTGCTTTGTATAAATTTAACTGACTTCTCAAAATTATGAGGTAGGTAGTATCATCACACTCCTTTTAGAATCAAAGAGTAATTCACTAACTCTCCTGCTCGTCTCCCTGGTCTAGGCCCAAATTCTGTGTTCCCGAGGTCCGAGCTTTCTCATTCCCCGCTCCCTGAGGTTTCCCTGAGCCAGTCTCCTCCTCCCGCCAGCCCTGTGGCTCTAAGCTTCTTTCTTTCACTCCCTAGGCTCTTCTTCCCCAACCCTTGAATTAGGCTGCCCTGAATCAACCAGTTCCCGGGTCCTCACCAGTCCGGAGGGCCCGCAGGGCTTCGCGCCACTCGCCTTCCATCTGAGCCCTGTAGTCCCCAAACAAGGAGCGCATCAGCTGCCTCTTCCGGGGCAGGAGGGTTCTTTCGCTGCGCAGGGTTCGGATTGCCCCAACAGCCTGCTCTCCTGCGGAAAAAAAAAAGGAGTAGTGGCCTGCTCTATCCTCTCCTCCTATCGTCCTACCGCAAAGGCAACAATTCCACCCGGGCAGCACCTACAGCCCAGAGCACTGTCACCATTCACCGCCCCACCAACTCTACAGACGGGCCCCTCACTCTGTCTCGGGCTGGGTCTCCGCGTCTTGAGGCCTAGCTCCAGCTGCTCCACGCACCAGGCCAGTTCCCGAGCCAGCTGCTCCGCCTGTGATGGATGGGGGTAGTGGCTGCGAGAGGGCCTCCAGCCCCACCCCACAGCGACCCCAACGACCCCATCCCATCCTCCGCCACCTCCACCCGCAAATCTGAGCGCACACCCCGGGCAGACTCCACCCTCCCGACCGAGGCCGCCCTTGCCTGGGCCTCCGCGCTCAAGGGTGCTTCCTCTGGGGCCGGCTCTTCGGGGGCCTTGCTGCCCCGATTCGCCACAGAGGGCCCCTTCCGGGTTTTCTTTCTCTTCTTCTGCTTCTTAGCGTCCGCCTCGCCTCCACCGCCTACGGGGCGCGCGTCCCCGCGCGCGGGGGGCCCTGGGCGGAAACGGACCGGGTGGGACCCTACAGCGGAAGGACCCGGGAAGCCGGGGCCGCGGGGCGCGCGCGCGGTACCTGGACCTGGGGCCGCCACTGTCTCCCGAGCAGGATGTCCCAGGGCCTGGAGAAAGGGGGCAGCACGAGGGTCACGGGGACCGCCACGGCGCCAGGCCCCGCCGCCCGCGCGCCCTCCCCGCCCCGCTCACCGCCATGCGCCAGGTCGCCGCCGGAACCCACGTAGGGCCTCGGGTCCCACGCCGAATTCGCTCCTCCAGCAACGCGCCCGCGGCGCAGCGTTCCGGGCGCGGGCGGGCGGCGCCCGCCCGAAGCGGAGCCAGGCCCAGCACTCACTCTTTTCTGGCCCCGTCGATCCTTCAGCGCCTCACAGCCGCCTCGTTTGTTTTCCCTGGCGGTACTAGCGCCTCTTCAACCCCCAGAACCCGGCAGCAGGTCCTTGAAGAACCGGAGAGAGGAAGGTGTGGAGGACCCCGGCGGCCCCGTCAGCGGTCCCCGAACTCCTCTCCGCGCCCCACCCTGGCGTGTGGTGAAGGCTCCCGGGCCCCGCCAGCTCTCCCGCTGTCCGCGCCTCCACGGCCGCTCAGACCCCACGCCTCGCGTCCACTCTCCGCCACCACGGCTGCGTCCTCGCTCTTGAGACACACCAGTCTCCGCTAAAACGATGTTTGCTCGGCCTGCTCTCCTAGCCTCCTTGGAAAATGTATTACCACCTTCATACGTGCAAATATGCAGTCAATTCTCATTATGTGAGGTAGTTCTATGAAGTAGCTGAGAATAGTGAACCATTGCTTCTAGGGGAAATACAGTTCAGTTCCTGGCAGCCACCGTTCATGATATTTTCAACAACCTTGAAAATAACCTTGTTTTACGTGTGCTTCTGTTAAAGACACTTTTTAAAATATATGTAGTTGATTTACTAACATTGAGCTCATGGCCAACAGCGCTATGAGTCATGCCTGAATGAAGTTATCTGGACACATATTTCCTCCGTGAGGCACATCACAGCCTTCTTGCAGTTAGGAACACTAGACAGCACTTCAGCACTATGCTTGAGGGCCATTTTAAACAGCAAAAGCACCAACAAAAAGCACAAAAATGCAAAAAGTGTGGCACTGAATATACTGTGACAAGGACACTGGTTTACAATATAAGAGCTGAAACAAGAAAGCAGAGTGTCACCTTGGTCAGCCTCAGCTGTGAGTCTGGTGACGGATTTTTCACTGCTCTGTGAATGTCCGTGAATGACCATTAAAGCACTAGTTTAGATTTTGGGGTTACAAATAAGTTCTAGCAAGTAGGCAAATTTGCAAATATGGAATCCACAGTAATGAAGATTGACTGTATATATAAACGTATTTTAAGGTAAAAATCATTAAAATGCATGTATCTACCACCCAGTTTAAGAACCAGAACATTATCAATATCTTTGAGGACCCTATGTGCCCTTCCTTCCAAGGTCATAATCCATTCCTCCCTTCAGAGAAAACAACTACACTGAAATTGACCATTTCTTTGCTTTTCTTGATACTTATATAACACAAATATGGATCTCTAAACAATATTGTTTAGTTTTGCACGTTTTGAACTTTAAATACATTAAATCATCTGTATGTGTTTTTGTTTTGTTTTGTTTTGTTTTTGTTCTTGTTTTTTGTGAGGAAGATCAGCCCTGAGCTAACATCCATGCTAATCCTCCTCTTTTTGCTGAGGAAGACCGGCTCTGAGCTAACATCTATTGC